CCCCGGAGCAGCCCCCGTGCCCATCCTGGTCCCCGAGCCCATCCCAGTCCCCGTGCCTGTCCCAGTCCCATGCCTGCCCCCTCCCCACGCCCTTCCAGGTCCCCGTCCCTGTCCCTGCGCCCATCCTGGCCCCAGTGCCCATTGCAGTGCCCATCCCAGTTCCCGTCCTAATCCCTGTGCCCCTCCAGGTCCCCATCCCATTCCCTGTGCCCATCCTGGCCCTGGTGCCCATCGTGGTCCCCATCCCCATCCCAGTTCCCATCCTGGTCCCCAGGCCCCTCCAGGTCCCCGTGCCCATCCCGGTCCCCATCCCATCCCTGTGCCTTTCCTGGTCCCCGTCCTGGTCCCCAAGCCCGTCCTGATCTCCATGCCCGTCCCAGTCCCGGTGCCCGTCCCCGCGCCGCCCTGCACCCACCGGCGCAGTCCCGCTCCAGCCCCGCAGCCCCCCAGTCCCAGGCGTCCGGGCAGGCAGGGCCCAGCTCCCCCGGGCCCCACTGACCCTGGCAGTCGGTGCCGGCCGCGTCGGCGCGGTATCCGGGGGCGCAGACACAGCGGTAGCTCCCCACCGAGTTCTCGCAGCGGCCATTGGTGCAGGGACGAGGGCTCCGACGGCACTCGTCCACATCTGGGGGCACAGACCGACGAGTGCACGGACAGATGGACGCGTGCATGGACAGATGAGTGCATGGACAGATGGACAGGTGCATGGAGAAACATGCACGTGGAGAAATGGGTGCATAGAGGGATGGGTGCATGGACAGATGGAGAGACAGCTGCACAGACAGATGGGCGCATGAGCAGATGGGCACAAAGGAGAGCTGGACGGGTGCACAGACGGATGGACAAGGGCCCTGGTCCCTTCTGCTCCAGGGACCTGGGTGCACGGAGGGATGCATGCACCCACAAGGAAGGGACCCCGGCCCCTTGCCAGCTCTCCTCCCCTTCTCCAGCCCCTTGCCTGTTCCTGAGCCCCTCCCCAGCCCTGGCAGCTCTCACCAATGCAGTGGGTGCCCTGGGTGCTCAGCCAGAAGCCGGGGTGACAGAGGCAGGTGTAGCCGCCTTGGCGGGGGACGCAGCGCCCCGGGCCGCAGATCTGGGGGTTTCGCTCGCACACGGTGCTGCTGGGAGCTGTGAACAGAGGGCAATGGGGAGGCGCATGCATGTGCACAATGATGCATGGGTGCAAACTTGCATGTGTGCAATGGTGCGTGCTTGAATCCTCGCACGTGCACAACCTCGCATGCGTGCAATGGTGCATACATGAAACCTCACACGGGTGCAACCTCGCATGAGTGCAACTGTACACACACACACATACACCCACC